ATTAAATAAATGCTTTGTTTGTTTTGAGGAGGACGTTTTAAGCTATGAAACTTGCAGGATGTTTTAATGGTACAAAGACCTCTTATATGCCAAATGATCAAGGCAAATTTGATTTCTCATGTCATGACCCCTTTAAGAGCAATAGAAGTTTTCATTTAGATAATGCTCTTTCCAATCAGTTACTATATTGTTACTATTGGTAAAACTGGCATATGACATATGATATCTGTTTAAATAGAAACTTTGATTTTATTTACCAAAGGTTGTGTGAGTTGGTCGTGGTCAGTGTGAAGCTGTTGTTGTGGTGTGTGTGTGTGTGATGGGTGTGTGTGTGTGATGGGATGTGTGTGAGTGTGTGTGTGTGTGTGTGTGTGTGATGGGATGTGTGTGTGAGTGTGTGTGTGTGTGTGTGTGTGTGTACAGGTATATATGGTTTATGAGGACACAAATGTGTATAATGACATGGGTACTACAACGTAAACATGGTTTATGAGGATACTTCCCATGTCCCCTTAAAACAAAAGGCTTAAAAAACATACAAAACAGTTTTTTACCCTTGAAAATTAAAAAAAGGCAGTAGTTTTCTATGAGGGTTAGGGTAAGGCAGTGGTTGGTATATATGGTTTATGAGGACACAAATGTGTATAATGACATGGGTACTACAACGTAAACATGGTTTATGAGGATACTTCCCATGTCCCCTTAAAACAAAAGGCTTAAAAAACATACAAAACAGTTTTTTATGAAATTCAAAAATTGCCAGTAGTTTCCTGTGAGGGGTAGGTTTAGGGGTAGGGTTGCTGTAGGGCAATAGAATATATGGTTTGTACAGTAGAAAAACCATTACTCCTATGGAGAGTCCCTGTAAACAACAATTGCAAGCATGTGTGAGTGTGTGTGTGTGTGTGAGTGTGTGTGAGAGTGAGTGAGTGAGTGAGTGAGTGTGTGTGTCTGTGAGAGTGTGACTGTGAGTGAGAGTGAAAGTGAGAGTGAGAGTGAGAGTGATGTATGTCTGTGAGTGTGTGTGTCTGTGTGTGTGTGTGTGTGTGTGTGTGTGTGTGTGTGTGAGAGTGTATGTGTGTATGTGAGAGTGTGTGTGTCTGTGTGTGTGTGTGTATTTGTGTGAGTGTATGTGTCTGTGTGTGTGTGTGAGAGTGTATGTGTGTGTTGTACAGCTGTTACTCTCTGAAAACTGATCCCAGCACAGCTGGTTCTTTTTAATAGCACTAACTATCCGGAGGAGCTGGCATGCCGCTCGCTCTCTTCACTAGAGTCACTCTCTTGAGATCACATTTCCGGTTTGGGTGTTTTATTTCCTGGCTGTTGAGGTTTCGTAGGTAAATTGTGAATATTCTTACTTTGGTCATTGAAACCGGATCCTGAAGAGCACATGAGCTCATGTGACGGAGCCGTCGGCCAATCAGAGCGTCCGTTAAGGGCGGGCTCTGATCTCGGAATAGCTGCTGGCCTTTACTTGGAATACCGCAGTGAAAGCGATCTCCCGAATGCATCACGACACGAGGACATCACGTTTTATTCCATTCATGGTGCATCGAACTGGAAATTCCAGCACAAGTGTTTAAAGGGGTCATATGATGCGATTTCAATTGTTCCTTTCTCTTTGGAGTGTTACAAGCTGATTGTGCATAGATAAGATCCCTAAAGTTGCAAAGACTAAAGTCTCAAATCCAAAGAGATATTCTTTATAAAAGTTAAGAGTCAGCCACACCTACCTAAAACGGCTCGTTCTAACACGCCCCCACATATCTACCTCACTATGTGGGAAGATTTGCATAACGCCGCCCAAATGTTCACGCAAAGAAAGAAAGCGTAACTTTTATTCTCGCTGTAGTATTGTTGCTGTGGAGACGCTGTGCGTTTCTAAATATGGTGAGGGGTGTAACATTTCCGTCACACGCTTGAGGTATTCGGCCAATCACAACGCATTGGATAGCTGGCCAATCACAGCACACCTCGCTTTTCAGACCCATGAGCTTTGTAAAAATCGACGCGTTTCAGAAAGGCGGGGCATAGAGGAGAAACAATAATATATGTTATATGGGAAATAATGTGTTTTTTGAACCTTAAACCGCTTAAACACATTGCATTACACCAAATTCACAAAATAATGTTATGTTCAACATCGTCATATGACCCCTTTAAACTGAACTGTGTGCAGGAATCACATCATCTGTAATCTGTCATTAATCAGTGTGATTCTCAGTAACACACAGACGTCCGCTGCAGTGTTGATTGTGATTGTGGTTGTGTTTTAGAGAGCGAGTGATAAGCAGTTTGGCCGTCGGGAACGGGCTCCGCTCAGACGTCTGGAGGGAATTCCTCAAGCGCCTCCACGGGGGGAAATGTGGGATTCGTGAACTACGCTGGAAAGATCGGCGCTGTCGGACGGGTCGGCTTTCTGCACAAAGTAAGACATATGACTGGAGTCACGTGACTCTCGCTGTGCTTCCGCCGAAAGCTCTGATCCGCAGTGTTTTTCTCTCATCACACAGAAACTGTTCCCCTACGCCATCATTCAGTAGGACACGGAGCGAGACGAGCCGCTCAGAGACTCCAGAGGCCTGTGTATCGAGGTGCCTAAAGGTCAGAGGTCACACACATAAACATGAAACACGCTCAACCCCCTCTAGAGTCCCATATAAAGAACAGCACTTCATCTTACAAACCAACGACTGATTTTATTCGTCCTGACAGACTCTGATGATCCAAACTACTGTGTGTTTCAACACCTTAAAGTCTCTCTGGCTGAACCTCTGTGTGTGTGTGTGTGTGTGTGCGTGAGTGTGTGTGTGTGTGTGTGAGTGAGCATGAGTGTGTGTGTGTGTGTGTTTCCAGGGTAGACGGGGGCTACTGGTGTCCAAGATGACAGAAATCGCTCCTTTCGTTGGTTATGCACAAAACAAGCAGCAAACAAAAAAGAAGAGGCTGCGTGATGTTTTTAAACACGGCGATGTTTATTTCAACAGCGGTGATCTGCTGAAGATCGATCACGACAACTTCATCTACTTCCAGGATCGAGTGGGAGACACATTCAGGTATTTTCTTAAAGGGTTAGTTCACCCAAAAATGAAAATTCTGTCATTAATTACTCACCCTCATGTCGTTCCAAACCCGTAAGACCTTCGTTCATCTTCGGAACACAAATTAAGATATTTTTGATGAAATCTGAGAGCTCTCTGACCCTTCATAGACAGCAAGGATCCTAATCGACAAAGTAGTCCATGTGATATCAGTGGTTCAACTGTAATGTTACGACGCTACGAGAATACTTTTTTGCACAAAGAAAACAAAAATAACGACTTTATGCCACATTTTTGTCTCTACTGCGTCTCTTGTGGATGCGCGTTCACGACATCGTCATCACGCCGGTGTTCTGACAAATAATGCTACCTATCAGATTATGCTACCAACACTGTATTTATCCTACTGTAAGAGTAGGTTTAGGGTTGGGTAGGTGTACATGTTAATAAAGCCTCACACCTTATTAATATCATGCTGGAAGCAAAATCTGATAGGTAGCACTTTTCACTATCGAATTATGCTACCATCTGCTTTAATGGGAGGTAGCAAAATCTGACAGGGTAGCACAAATTGTCAGAACACCGGATCTGGGTCAGCGATTTTTCTTTGCAAATCCCTGGTTTGTACTTCTAATTCGTGACCGGCATTTTATGATTAAAACGATTTTACGATCGTCACTAATCACGCAACGCCGACGTCTTACGTCATCCGCCGGAATGGCTTCAGTATATGACAGATACTGGAAGTGAGAGAAAAGTGTTTATTACTTTTGAAATATGGATATTTTTCTTACAAAAACACATGGAATCGCTACAGGAGGCCTTTATTTACCCCCCGGAGCTGTCTGCGGCACGTTTTATTATGGATGTGTGCGCTTTATTTGACGACTTGTGGACCGTTCAACTGCAACACCCGCTGACTGCAATGATAGAGCTTGGAAGAGCCAGGACAAAGAAGAAAGTCATATACACTTAGGATGCTTCGAGGGTAAGTAAAACACAAGCTAATTTTCATTTTTGGGTGAATTAACCCTTTAACTTTTACATGCAGGCTGCCACGTTTTCCCCGGCGTCTGGATCGAGGAGGACCCCAAGTTCAGCAGAGGTACGCAGGTAGCCCTTGGGCGAATCTTTTTGTCCACTCGAATTAAATTTCACTGCATTTTCCATGAACGACCTTATATCAAGAAGTGCTTGGCGTTCGTACACCAGTAGAGCGTCTGCTTTGTTTAAAACAGTCAATAAAAACACGAGCAAGACTGAGAGCAGCTGACGACCGGCCATACACTCAGGCGCCATCTTGGAAATAACCAATTGGATTATTGTTTTTGTTTATATTTACTTCAATCCCTAGACTTTGGTGTTTTGTTTCTGTAACCAATCGCTTTTTCTTTTAAATAAATAAATAGTCTTGCAACTGAAATATTCACTTGCATGTGTGATCCTCTTTATGTTACGGTCGGGAACGAGCTGGCCGTGACAGTGTGCATGTGTGTGTGTACGAGAGTATGCGTGAGTGAGTGTGTGTGTGCGAGTGTGTGTGTGCATGAGAGTATGCATGCGAGTGTGTGTGTGTATGTGTGAGTGTGTGTGTGTGTGTACGAGTATGCGTGAGTGTGTGTGTGTGAGAGTGTGTGTGAGTGTGTATGTGTGTGTGTGTGAGTGTGTGTGTGCGTGTGTGTGAGTGTGCGTGTGTGTGTTTGTGTGAGTGTGTTTGTGTGAGTGTGTGTGTGTGTGTGTGTTTGTGTGTGTACGAGAGTATGCGTGAGTGAGTGTGTGTGTGCGAGTGTGTGTGTGCATGAGAGTATGCATGCGAGTGTGTGTGTGTATGTGTGAGTGTGTGTGTGTGTGTACGAGTATGCGTGAGTGTGTGTGTGTGAGAGTGTGTGTGAGTGTGTATGTGTGTGTGTGTGAGTGTGTGTGTGCGTGTGTGTGAGTGTTCGTGTGTGTGTTTGTGTGAGTGTGTTTGTGTGTGTGTGTTTGTGTGTGTGTGTTTGTGTGTGTGTGTGTGTTATTTGGTGGGCAGCGGGCTGGTCTCCAGAGGGAAGCAGTTGAAGCAGCTGGCTCTGCTGGTGACCCATCCTCGTCTGAAGGGCTGGTGGAGCTGCTGCATGCCGCACTGCGCCCACACCTGCGACAGACTGGGCACGCTGTGGAACTTCAGCAGCCTTAGGGTTAAAATTCAGGAAGTAAAAGTGATAGAAACCATCAGTCATTTATGTACAAATCAAGAGCCTTTTAACTAAACCGCTTAGGCTGTATAAGATCAGCTGTGTCCTGTAAAACTAAATAAAAGCTCATTCATGTAGACATGCCTCATCCAGATGGTTACCTCTCATCAGGTACTCCTGCGTCTGCATCACGTCTGTCAGAGGAAGAGAAGATCAGCGCGTTTGAGCCGCTTCAGATCTCCATCCGCTCTTATAGCTGCTGCTGACGGAGACAACGACGCCAACACACCAACTACACAAAGACACGCTTTGATTCAGAGCAGCACTGATACGGCATGAATCCAAAAACAACCCGTATCTGAAATATGTGTGTTTGAAGAGCTCAGAATATTTCCAATACTGTAATACAATGCAATACACAGACACCTCAGATGATGCCAACCCTCAAACAATATACAAAACAACCAAATTTAGCTATAAGTGTAATCACAACATATAATCATTGCAGTTAACAGTGTTCACCGTGGGTTTGATTACACGTCATTAACTAACTGCTTGAGTTTTACTGTACATTTCTTCCATATGAACATCAACTTGAGATAGTCACCACTGATGAGCCACTACTAGAAACTTAAATTTTCTGTAAAGCTGCTTTGCAATGATTTGTATCATGAAAAGCGCTATACAAATAACCTTGAATTGAGATGTGAATCAGCAGATCGGTGCTGGAGAGACGCTCAGATCCTCCTCAAAGAAACCAAATCACTGCTGTCTTTTAAAAATAATAATCTTTATGACAGAAATCCTGGAAAATGCATCACAAACAGCGAGCAGGAGGAAACTATAAACATGCTGATTATCAGTGAGGAAAACGAGTCTTACAGAGTCTGATGATGAAGGATTCGATCAAACATGGCCTGCAGATCAAACACACACTGTAAAAAATCAACCAGCAACCAGCTTCAGGAGATTTTTGAGTTTTCTCAACTTTTTGTTGTATAAACTGAAAACAACAAGTTGAGAAATCTCAAAACTCTCCTGAAGCTGGTTGCCTCAACTTTTGATTTTTTACTGTACATCAAGAAATCTGACATTACTGCGCAATTAACCATCCTCGTTCAGGTTTTGAGGGGCTTTTGTCTCTTTATTCAAAGGCTGGTGAAGGGTGCTGGGATGTGGGTCAGAATCGAACCCGTGTCGGCCACATGAGCACCACAGCTGAGGCGCTTTATGAGGAGAACTGAAGGAAATGAATGATAAGGATCCAGTCACAGAAGCTGACGGCGTGTTTTCACGCTGCTTTCTTCACGCTCTGCCGTGTGATGGCCTCCAGCTTCTGTCTGTACGCCTCCGCCTCCTGCTCCTTCTTCAGGAACTGCTGTCTGTATTTCTGTGCCTCGCGGTTCGCCTCCTCCAGCTGCTTCAGAAGAGCCACCTTCTCCTGTTGCACACACAGTGTCACCTGTGTTATATGCTCATTACTGCTTTGATTAATTAGATAATAAAAAATGTGCTTTTACATTGATGCTTTAGAGACTTGCATTGCATTAAGTACACATCTGTGAGCCTGGAGCACAAAAGCAGTGTTAAGTCGCTGGGGTATATTTGTAGCAATAGCCAACAATACACTGTATGGGTCAAAATTATACATTTTTCTTTTATGCCAAAAATCATTAGGATATTAAGTAAAGATCATGTTCCATGAAGATATTTTGTAAATTTCCTACCGTAAATATATCGAAACTTAATGTTTGATTAGTAATATGCATTGCTAAGAACTTCATTTGGACAACTTTAAAGATGATTTTCTCAATATTTATATTTTATTGTCCTATCCTAACAAACCATACATCAATGGAAAGATTATTAATTCAGCTTTCAGATGATGTATAAATCTCAATTTCACAAAATTGACCCTTATGACTGGTTTTGTGCTCCAGGGTCACATTTGATCATGCATTCCCTAGGAATCGAACCCATCACACTGGTGTTGCGAGCAGCATGTTGTTCTGTTTGAGTTAGAGGGATGTTATTGAAAGCTTGTTATTGCACACATCAGAAACAGGTTGATGAGAGGAACTGTGGGAGGTGTGTCTCTGTACCTGGAAGTCCTCCAGCGAGAGCGTCTGCTGGATCTGAGCGTCTTGTGTTTCTGTCATCAGATCGTCGTCTTCCTCCTTCAGACGCTGGCGCTTAACACACGGCTCCTCGCTGATCACCGTCTCCTCTGCCACCTCTGTGTCCGACACCGTAAGCACTGCAGGAACACACACACACACACACTCTGAGAGAGCTGAGCAAACACACACACACACACGTTTCTCTTTATTTCTCCAGATATTGATGCTCATGTGAGCTGATTCTCTCTCTCACCCTGCTGCCCGTCAGGCATGGTGACTATTATGGGCTGGCTGATGCCTGTGCCCGTCTGCAGGTTGCCCAGCTGAATGCCGTCTGTTACTATGGTGATGACCTGCTGACCTCCAGAGCTCATGACCTGCTGTATGGCCCCGTCGACGGAGTCTGCGGTGATCAGCTCCTCTGCGGCCACCACTGCGTCAGAGACGAGAGTCAGACCACATCTGATCATCAGATCAACATCTGCAGTCAGAGAGCTCTTATTCTGAACGACAGCAGCAGAGAGCAACATCAGGCTTATCTCCACTCTAATCACGGCGCTATGATGCTGCTCTGAGACGCTGTTTGTTCAGAGAAGCGCAGGGTCATTTTCTTCAGTGTGCATCTGCACAAAGGCCTCTTTCACGGAGGTCATTCATAAGCACGCGGGGGTTGAGAGGTCGAGAGGTCGGGTCACCTGTGGGTTTGCTGCTGCTGGCGGGCGACACGAGTCCGGCGAGGTTCACCACTCCTCCCGGGCCGATGATGAACCGCGGCGCGGCCGTGTGGATGGTCAGTGTGTCCGGACTCTCTGGGTTTGTGTTGATCTGGTTCTGCATCGCCACCTGATGCACAATCATATTCATAAACACATTAGGACACAGGAACAGTGCTGGGGAGTAACTAGTTGCATGTAACTAAATTATGTCATTTAATTACAAAATAAATGTCTGTTACAGTTACTAAGAAAAAACGTGTAATTAAATTACAGTTACTTATGAAAATGTTAATGATTACAAAGAGGGTTGCATCTGAACATTTTCACATGCATACAGATTTGTTTGATTTCTTTCATAAATTGCATTGAATGCTCTAAAATATGAGACACTAATGTTTCAGGAGACATGCTTATTCAGTAACTGTTTTATTTCTTATTTGAGTTTGTGTATATGTTTATTTTTTAAGATTAACTGTTTTTCCGAGTCATTATTAGATGCCAGTGTTTTCTGTCATAACTATACAAAGATTTGATTTCAAAATCAGTATCATAGTTACTAAACTATTTCTTGTTATGGTTTTAAATCAGTATTTAACCTCAGAAGGATCTCAAAGTAAGTCTGATTTTGTGGTGGCTGTGCTTTAAAATTAAATTATTATAATCTTAATTCAAGTGATGAAGGATTCTCTGACAGTAATCAGTGTTGAGTTCTACTGTGAGATTAATCCTGCCTGCTTTACATGTTTCAAAATGATTAACAGTTCAAAACATTAGACATTTAGAAAGGTAATTTCTAACACTGGAAAATTAGAAAGGTAATCAAATGTAATCAGTTACATTACTTTAATAAAGTAATTGAAATAGTTACACTACTGTTACATTTTAAATAGAGTAACTTGTAATCTGTAACCTGTTACATTTCCAAAGTAGCCTTCCCAGCACTGCACAGGAACAACAGCTGTTTGTTAAATACAGAAACCACCTTCATCAATATTATTAACAAACATCATAATTTTCTATTATATATCATTAGCTCATGTGCATTCAATTACTGCATCTTCTTCTTATCCATGAAGAAATCCAGCCATCAGCTGAACAGCTGCCAAATACAGTACATCAGTGTCACGGTTCGAGCAGAAGCTGAGCGGTTTTTTTTATTGAGTCAAAAATTGATTTAACTTTTTAATCAGAATGTTATAACCAGTGTTATTTTGGTATCATTGAGGTACTACAGATTTTTTTTATATATATATTTTGAATTAGTTTTTATTTTTGTATTTTAATTTTAAAGTCTTAGTAATTTTTGTGTTTTTGTCATTTTTATTATCTATTGTTTCTTTTTTAATATGCCTATATATACACTTTAATTGTTCATTTCAAGTTAAACTAAATGAAAATGAAAAATGCTGCCTTGGCAACTAGCTGAAGCAAAATTAGTTCGCGTTTATATATATATTTTTAATTTCAGTTAACGTTTATTTCAAGTAACAAATAGATTTGTAATAGTTTTAGTTATTATAGCGACAGATTCTCTCTGGCGGCAATATGGATAAAGTTGTGCATCAATACACAAGTGATGCCGAGATGCAGCCTCACTTTATGTTTTGTGTTTTTGCCAATAAATGTGCGTTTCTGAGCTCATTCAGGATAAGACTGAACACACCTCGTTGAAGGAGTATGAAAAAAGTGAATGTGGTGTGAAGAAAAGACATGCTGGTCACAGTATGAATCCAAAAGATAGAACAGTTGTTTTTTATTTAAAGGTGACCTATTATACCCCTTTTACAAGATGTAAAATAAGTCTCTGATGTCTTCAGAGTGTGTATGTGAAGTTTTAGCTCAAAACACCCAACAGATAATTTTTTATAGCTTGTTAAAATTGCCACTGGGTATGAGCCAAAATGTGCCGTTTTTGTGCGTGTTCCTTTAAATGCAAATGAGCTGGTGTTCCGGCCCCCTTTTCAGAAGAGGGCGGAGCTTCAAGAGCATACAAACAAACATTCCACTATTAGTACAAGCCTGCTATCTGTACAGAAAACGTACTCGGTTTAAAAGTCAGTCATCTGATTGTACTGTGCGTAATAAATAATCGTTTATGAATTACACAGACGAGGATCATGGTGCAATAAAAATAACTCAAAGAGCTTATTGACACGTGCGGTTGAATCAGAAAATGGACCAGAGCATTATTGTTGCCGTCTGTTATGACATAGGCCTGGAGCACAGAAAACAATTACAATCAGTTGTAGTGGTAGTTGTATTAGCGCATATTCGCTTCGCGTCTGGTGTGAACACACCATAAGTGCCACTTGTGATTATGAGCTCAACCAATTCAAACGGTCGACTTCACATTGCTTTCATATGCAATTATTAACTAGCGCATTCCTATTTACGATCATTCTGGAAGCACGAGACAGACCGCTGATTTGTTCCATTATAGGCTGGTTGTTTTCACACACTGCAGCCACACAACTGTGTTCGAACACCTTATAAAAGTGATTTTTGCACAATAGGTCCCCTTTAAATGTTTATCATTTCTGTTTTTATCAGCAGGTGGCGCTGTCACCAAACCAGACAGTCAAGCAGAAATCATTCAGAGGCAAACTGCTCGAGATTGTCTGAAGAACTGGAGCTTTGTGATGGGAGAAATGCACTTTTCAAAGCTTCAAATCAATTGAATCAATTGCTTCGCAAAACGATTCACGCAGCGTTCGAAACGCCACACGCTAGTGACACCTACTGGTCAAAAGTGTGCGAAATGCAACAAAAACTCAGGCTAAAACATGCATAAAACAGCTTTTAAAAACCAATTGCAAATGTTTTATTGAAAGTATAATACATTCAATGCAATAATAATAATAAAATATTAGCAGCTTCTATATAGAGGCCAGTATGAGAATATTAACTACTTAATTACACAAATGTCTCGTTAAAAATGTCTACAAATTGATGAAACTGATCCGAGATCAGGTAAAAACCATAGACGCTGGTTCAATGGTTCGCCGCTGGGGGACAAACTCAATGAACTCACGGTATGATTCACGGTAAAGCTGCATGATTCTAGATAAACTGAGAATCATGATTTTTTTGTCTCAAATAGAGATCACGATTCTCCCAACTAAACAAGATTTTTGCTGCAGTCTATTTAAAAGTGTTTAATTAATTTGAATTAATTATTCAACATTTTAATATATATGTATTTAAAATACAATATATTTAATACACCAATTTTTTATATGAAAAATTTGAAAAAGTGGTTTGAATGAATGATTCAATGACTCAAACTCATAAATACTTCACTTGTTTCATTACTGGATGAATCAGCGTTTTTTAACGAATCTCTTGAATGATTCAATGACTCACTCATATATACTTCACTTGTTTCATTACTGGATGAATCAGCGTTTTT